AATTTCTGGGACACCTGCTCATTACCCGAAATCTTTTTGGTCGTTCGGTAAATTACCTAACTCTCCGGAAATTACATTACTGCATCCGGACTGAAGGTCCTAAGATAGCGAGGTAGTTTCCGGAGAGTTGGGTAATTTACCGAACGACCAAAAAGATTTCGGGTAATGAGCAGGTGTCCCGGAAATTATGATAATAGCTGTAATCCGAATCCGATCCGAATCCGTAATTCGGATTGAATCCGCGAGTGATCCGTGCCAATCCGACGGTTGATCCGCGGTTTGTCACATTTATTTTACCACAATACATGTGATAAATTCGAATTTGCACATGATAAATTCAAATATATCCCTTATATTGTGACACGAGGTGTGATTAATTCTAATTTATCACATATAATGATTATATAAAAACATGACCTAAAATTAGGCCCAATCCCGCTCAATCCGGGCCCAATCCGAATTTCTGGGCCAAAACTGATCCGAAGGTTCGGATCCGTCAAAATCCGAATCCGATCCGATTTAACTTTTTCGAACACTACTCGGTTAGAATCTTCGTAAGTGTTCACGTAATGCTGAAATATAGCGATAGTAAGATAAATTAAGGATAGGGTGTCTGCAGATCAATTTTCATAGTAATCATGTATAAATCATATAAATCACATGGTTGACCAATCAGAATTGTAAACACCCAGATTTGACCAATCAGAACTGGCAATTCTTGTGTGACCTAACAAAATTTTAGACCACCTAACTTATATAAACATGAATATTTTTAAATAATACAAGGAATAAAATTTTACTGTTATAAACAAGAGACTTCAAAGTATTTACCAAATAATTTTAGTAAAATTTAGTTATGTTTCTAAAAAGTTTTATTATAAATGAATCTTTGTTGCCTATATAAAATTTTGGTGTGCACGTAGATCATATAGAAAAATGATCTTACCCTTAAGAAAATTTTGTGTAAATCGAAAATGATCGATTTCTGAAAAAAAAACCCACTTTTGGGGACCGTCTAAAGCCAGGTGCGTTCACGTGACTAACAGCCAATCAAAATATAAATTTTGATAAACCCGGATCAGCCAAAAACAAAGAAAAAAAGTGAAAAACGCCGAAAATACAAGAAACGAGTGTCTAAACCTGTCTTGAAGCATTAATAAAAAATGCCAGGAAGATGATTTTACCTATAAGAACTGCTCCAACCCTAACTCCTAACTAACCCTTACCCTAATTTTAATTAAATAATCAAAAACATATGAACGCACCGGGCTTTAGCCGTTCCCCACTTTTGGTAAGCAGAGCCAGTATTTTGTAAACAGGATTGTGTTATTCGGAAATATAAACATTCTTTCCTTCTGAAAATATATAACAATTGGCAATCTCCATTATAACAATAGAATTTATCATTTCAAATTTTTTTACAAATCAATTAGTTTATTTTGTTGAGACAAAATTTTAATAAAATAAAAAAAACAGATATACTGTACAGTATTTACTAATGATCATATGACAATGTTTTTGTCAATAATCGAATGTCCTCAATTCTAATATTCTGCACTAATCGACCAAAATATGTCCTTTTTCTGTACGATAAGATATTTGTCCTTGACAATAATGTAGTCACATTTTTGCCCTTCGTACTAAGCATCATTATTTGATTCTATTGAATTCAAGGGATTTCTTGTCCGATGCTCTGTCACATTCCCCCCATCAGTTGGCCCTTCTTCACGTTGCATCATAGCAGTAGCTTCCATAACTCTTGACTGTCGCACTTGTGAATTATTAGGTGATCCACTATTAGTTGTCGAAGTGCTTGACCCTTCACTCTTGGGTGGATTATTTTCTGGTTGTTCTGACTTTATTTCTAAGACTTTGGTATTGTATCCTCGGCATTCAGGGCATTTATGATATGAAAAGTGATAACTGACAGTACTACGTATTTCACAGTCATTGCATAATATGTGTGCAACGAAATTCTCATATTCGGGTGGCATTTTTTGTTGAGCAACAATAGCATCGATCCGCCGAAAATAAATTTCCATGTTTGCAATAGACTTGCAGCATGTTGGACATTGGTATGCAGTTTTGCTGTATTCTATGAAACACTCCTCATGCAAACTATGACCACATAGCTAATAAATAAATGATCAAATTTAATTTAATCAAGTTTGAATTTAACCATTTCTAAAATAGAAGAATACACTTGCCATTAGATGAGGCTTCATTGTTGATGAAAACAAATATTCTCCACAGATCATGCAATCACGATCCAGATTCTTTTCAATACACTTATGCATGCCCTTCAGGTGGCTCTGCAAGCAACAATCACATACATCGCAATGGAAAAAATCTTTACTTCGCCCCTGGCGGCAAATTCCGCACTGATCACAATGATAAATGTCTCTAGCTTGGTGATCATCCCAGAATTTACATTTGTCACAGTAATACCGAGCTAATTCTTGTTTGCAATTATTGCAAGCTTTGTTGGCAGGTTGAATAGTCTGACAATACATACACAACATATTTTTGGTAGCATGCCTAGTAATAACATAATATATCAGTTTTTAAAAATCTAAATGCTGAAAAATATTGTCAATGTTTGGGAATTTTTAATCTTGCCTGTCAATTTTATGATCACATTTTTCATCGTGACAAAATCTACATGTAAAAAATCTTTTACAGCACTCTGCTTGTAATTTTGATCCTCGTTGATAGTGTTTGCACCCAAATTTTTGCGATTTTTCATACTAAATATCAATTAATTTATAATTATTATTTATTTCATTGTTTTTTCATATAGGTAGAATAAAAACTAATGCTTACAGTATATGTTGGTTTGAGGTCATCTTCGATAAATTCATCATCGATATTTAAATTATCTGTTGACTTTTTTTCATTTTTCCGCCAATGAAATGTCATCAAATCCTAAAAAAAAAAAGTGAAAGAAAATCTGACATTTAAATAAATAAGCAGATAAAATAAATAAATTTAAAACTGTAAATATTAGTTTACTTGAACTTTCTTCGCCTTTTCATCCTGAGGTATGTTAAGATCATTTTGTATACTAAGAATAACTTTCCTCAGCTCATTCTGATATTCTAAATCCACCTTGATTGGTTTACCTGAATTTTGTCTTGTTGACGTTTCTCCAATCTCATTCATTTCTTCAACCGCTTCAACATCTGACCATTCATCAAGATCGTTGTCAAGTGTTATACGATATCCATCGACTTTTTAAAAATTAGCATGCGGTAAATCAGTGTAAAGTAGACTTGTGGAAATGTACAAAAGGGAATTTAACGAACCTGCCATGTTTAATTCTCCCAACTTTCAGTGATCTAACTTTTATATAAGTGCAATTTTTTGTGGTAGTACACTGGTAGTACAATGATTCATTATAAGATACGTGGGTTACGTATTTTTTTTTTGTATGTTTTGCTTTTGCAATTTTTTTTTATAAATTCTGTCTTTACAAAACTATTGTATAAAACTTTAGAAGAGAATCAACACATTTTAATAGGAAAAGACGATTATGTCAGAAAGTACACAAACTTCAAGTTCCGAGCATAATGATACGACTCCGTCAATGCGAAGAAAAAAAGCCACGAGGGCTTGTTTCCATTGTCAGAAAGCTCATTTGACCTGCGACGATTGTAGGTTACAGCTATTTTAAACACATACATATTAATCTAAATATTGAATCCATTTATTTACCTCATCATACCCTTTTCTTATAAACAGCTAGACCCTGCCAGCGGTGTATTAAACGAGATCTAGCGGCCTCATGTACTGATGGTATTCGCAAAAAGGCAAAGTACTTGCAAGATTCACATTATGATGGTGCGCGACCAATATACAATATAATTTCCGATTTTGTTGATCATATAATTATTTGGTATTTTTGATCAAAGAATTATAATGGAAAAAGCACTTTATTTATTGTCAAGTGTGGTGGTTAATGGAGATTTTGCAAGTTTTTCAACCAACCGATATTCACTTTTACTAACCACTAGTGTATGAAATAATCGATCATAAATTTTATTACAATAACTCTACACCGACTCCCATTGAACAACAATCTACCAAACAACAATTTCCACCTACTCCTGTACTTACACATCCTCCAACGCCTTTGCAACAAACTCACCCCGGACCATTTACCACATATCACGAAAATACTGCTTCGTCCTCGCTCATTGACAATAATCAACAATTTATGCTGGTATGTCAAGTCTTTTTGTCTTAAGCAATTTCAACAAGACCGTTATTAAAAAGTTAAATGTTAATCTCAAAAAAAAAAAAAAAAAAAAGCCTAAAACTGTTGATGAATCGGTTTACTTGAAATCATTGGGGCATTCTATTCCGATTTCTCCAATATCTCCATTATCATCACATTTTGCCGATGATTACAATTATCAACAATTATTCTATTCTCGACAACATCGTTCTCACTATATACATAATCTTGGTCAATCTATGTTTACAGCCTCACCACAAACGAATCAGACGGTTTTTATGCATAATGGATTTCAACCAACACCTAGTGAGTATATTCAAACTGATATAGCGTTCCATAATGGTTACAAATAAAAAATCGACGACTCAGAATTATTACAAGACCCAAATTATATGATTATGTAACTTTATGAAATTCATGTTGGAATTGTACGAAGACGAGGGTACAATATTTTATTATTTTTGGGTCGTTAACCATTCTTATGAATCCTTTTAATCTTATTTTTTAGATAATATTGTGGATCCTAGTACGTTATTTGGCCCAGAAAGCTATTCTCTTGCAACTGTTAACTATGGTTTCGGATCTGAGGCCGTGAACCTTGAATACTCAATCCTAAGCAATATGTTATCCACGGCTTCTACAGAGTCGTTAGGTCCACATAACGGTTTCGCAGATATTGGTATGATCGATCAGAATTGGCAACAACCACAGTTACCACGTACGACAAGTCCTGTCATGACGACAGCTGGTGGTATGAACGGAGGTAGTACCAGTCAAAAAAGAGAAAGTTCTGGAAAAAAGAAAATGAGTTCAAATACACCGGAAAATGTTTATGCGAATGTCAAAGCGCCATTTTCATATACAGAAGGATTTCATTATTTGGTAAATTGGGTTAAAGAGAGGTAACAAGATTTTTATATTTAATGTGTAAGGATTAGTTAATCTGTTACAAAAGTAAATCGTCATGTATATATGTATGTCTATGTATGTATATATGTTAGAATGGAAAAAGATCATATCGAGAGAATTGTAAGAGCGTTGGCTACATTTCGGCCATCGTTTATTGCACTCATAATGAACTTGACTGAAGAAGATTTGATCTTCATGGAAAAATGTTTCCAGAGAACAATTTTAGTGAGTCATTGTATTTTTATAAAATATTGCCTGCATAGTGTTGCATTAATATGCTAATATAATACGATTTTTTATTTTAATTATTTATTTTATTTTTTTCTTTTTTGTGACGAGATAGGAATTTGAGAAGCTTATAAGTTTTTCTGGAACACCAACGGTTGTTTGGCGTCGAACAGGAGAGATTGCCTTAGTGGGCAAGGAATTTTTGTTACTAACACAATGGACTAAAGACCAATTACTTGGTAAAACAACGTATATATATGAGGTATGGAATCATTTCTAACTTACTTATTAATGTATTATAGGAATTAGTTTTATAAGTAAATATTCGTTGTTTTAAGGTCATGGATAATCAATCTGCTGTAGAATACTGGGAAAAATTTGCGGCACATGCATTTGATAATTCAAGACAGTCCGTAATGACTACATGCATTCTTATGAGACCATCTGGGATGCCAGTTCCCTGTGCTTTCTGTTTTACAATCAAACGAGATATATTTGATATTCCGTTAGCTATTGTAGGAAACGTAAGTAATATAAATCTGACTCAGCTTTTGCATTTCTAATGTTTCTAATGTCAATATTCTAAATTAAAATTTACATTACTTTTTTTTAGTTTTTACCAATCCTAAGTTGACCATGAAAAAGAGATTCTTAATATATAAGAGTGGGAAAGTATTATAAATGTTACACAACAGTAAAAAAAGATTTTTGGCCACACCCAGCCTGTTATTAATATTTTTCAGTGGTGTACACAATGCGTCTAATGCGTAACCATATTCCAAAGCCATAGCCATTTTGATTTTTACCCAAATTAGAATAGATAGGTATCTCTATAAATATTCTAACCAGAGGCTTTATAATTATTTTTTAAGTATAACGCTTGCACTTTGCTGCAATTTATCTTTATCATAGTCACATGAGAAGCACATATCTATATAAATTTATTAAAAGTTTAATTGTTTCTAATCGGAATTTTTAATGTTGACATTTAGCATCACATCCACAAATGCTAATTAATTAAATGTGTACGTATCAAAAAAGTGAGTAGCCTATGGTGATCGTTAACGAATTTATCGTTATAGTTTGTAAAAGTTAATTACTGTTGGTATCGGTAACACACTATGCATATCCCTAAAAAGGAAAACTGCATTAAGAGATTTATAACGTGTAGAATTCTAACTAGACACTTTCTCTAATTAAAAAAAAAAAAAAGATGCCATCCCAAGAAGTGGCAGATGTCGAAACTCCACTATTTCAACGATCAATAATAGAAAATGCAATAAGTACAGAAGAGCTTTTAGATGAGCCCAATAAGAATGTACATGAATTTATTGAATTTGGAGATAAAGTAGTCGAAGCTCAGGTAGATACCGGAGAAGTAGTAAGCAGTTTTTCTTGGAAAAAGCTGTGGAGATACACTGGGCCTGGTAAGCTTATTTATTAACATGTTGCTTTATTAAATAATAATTACTTTTAAAAAAGTTCGCTTATCTAGTGATGACTGAATGGTACATAAAAGACTAGATTGTTTACATGACTCTAAATTATGTAATTTTACTCACCAAATTCTTAAGGATTCTCTAAATTTATTAATTTTTTTCATTCTATTCAATAGGGTTCCTAATGTCTATCGCTTACCTGGATCCGGGTAATTTGGAAGCAGATCTTCAATGTGGTGCAGCCGCTGGATATTCCATGGTAAAAATCATCAACTAAATTTTTTTTACTGGCTGGAAATTATTTTATATATGTTTGTATTTAACATAATGTTTACCTCTTACTATCCATTTTTTATTAAATCTAGCTTTGGATTTTGCTATATGCTCATATCGCAGGATTCCTTATTCAAGTGCTTTCTGTTAGACTGGGTGTTGTTACGGGAAAACATATTGCGCAACTTATAAATAATAACTATTCACGTCCTATTTCATTAATGTTTTGGTTAATAATAGAACTTGCTATCATTGGCTCAGATATACAAGAAATTGTTGGTACTGCTATAGCACTCAAAATAATCTTACGGTTACCTCTCTGGATAGGTACTTTATTAACGGCTATGGATACTTTCACCTTTATGTTACTGCAGAATTACGGTGTGAGGAAATTAGAAGCATTTTTTATGGCGTTAATTTCTGTTATGGCGATCTGTTTTTGGATTGAGATGTTTCAGAGTAAACCCGAGGTCGGTGAAATATTTAAAGGGATAATAATTCCTTTAGTGCCAAGTAATGCAGTGGTGGAAGCTGTTGCATTGATTGGTGCTGTAATTATGCCTCATAATTTATATCTACATTCTGCTCTGGTGATGACGCGTAAAACGGATCGTAATTCGAAATCAAAAATTAAAGAAGCCAATTTTTACTTTGGAATCGAAAGCGCTTTGGCATTACTTTGTTCATATCTCATAAATATGGCCATTGTTGTCGTGTTCGCTAGTGTATTTTATTCACATAAAGACATAAAAAGTTTACCAGGCTTGTATGACGCGGCCGATGTTTTAACAAGAACGTTAGGTAGCGGCGCGAGATATTTGTGGGCTGTGGGATTGCTTGCCGCTGGCCAGAGCTCTACAATGACAGGAACTTTTGCCGGACAATATGTTGTGGAAGGATTTTTTGGCAAAATATTTTCAAGCCCATGGAAGCGCGTCGCAGTCACTCGAGGAATTGCGATAATTCCTTCCATGTTGGTGGCTGTATTTGCGGTTAGTTTTTTTGAACGTTCGGTTTTATGTCAATTAATTAAATTAAAAAAAAATTTTTTAACAGGTTAATCATTTCGACACAATGGGCGAACTTCTCAATGTCTTACAAAGTCTTTGTTTACCCGCTACATTAATTCCAATTCTTAAACTTACTAGTTCAAAAGATGTTATGGGGACCTTTCATATACACCACATGTTCAAATACGTTACGTGGATTGTTGCTCTCATTCTTATATGTTTTAATCTTTTTATGTTTATATCATATTTGGAAGAACTACCTAATGTATATATTGGTTATACATGTGGGCTTATGTATTTTGCATTTATATTGTATCTTATTTTATTGCCGATTGGAGGAAAAAAACCAACTGTTACAGAAACCAATAATACAAGCGGATACCAAGTAATAAATGAAGTAGGTGTTGATTCGTAATTAAAAATGTGATTAACAAGTCTATTATAAATTCATCGTTCTTTATAGTTTCATCAGTATTTATAGAAAAAAAAAAGCAATTCATTAGATAAATGTAAATAAATGCAATGAAAAAGTTTAAATTTTGCACAATAAATTAATTTTGATTCAGGTTTATATTTATAGATTATGCACTATAAAAATTCCTGTCAAGCATATAAAACTTATAGAAAATAACTTTCCAATAGACTAATGCCACATATAATATATATTTTTTTTCATTTGAATAACCTCCAAATTATTAATTTACATTCAATATAATGCTTGTATATAAATAAAATTATTATATAATATACACAACACATCACACGCTATAAAAAGATATAGATGCTAAATTTAAAATGACTACAAAAATAGAACCCAGCCTATAATGTATACATAAAATATTTATTTACTAGTAAATTATAATGCTTGCTGTTTTTTCCTCGCGTATGTAGTAAGATCTCTAAATAAATGTTAAAATAATAAGTAAAAATTCAAATAAGATGAAATTAATTACAGAGAATGATATTCAATTTTCCATACGTGATTATGCTAGTCCAATGGACGCTCACAAATGTCATACAACATTTTAAATTTTCTGGATCTCGTACAGGTCTATCGGTTATTGATTGTGAAAGTCTTTTCAATGATTGAAAAAATGAGTTGCTTGAACCCGTTTTTTGACTTCGGGTTGTAGATTTACCATTTTGATTATTGGTAATTGTATTATTCCCTGGCCAATTATTATCAGGTCCTGAGCCAGGAAAAGTATTATTTGTAGATGGAGGAGATGTGGATTGAGATGCACTATCTAAAAAATCATCTTCCAAAGATGATGCCGTGATAGCCACCTGTCGTTAATAAACATTAAATTGGTTATGATCATGCATCTCTTCTACATTTTCTTAATTTGAAATTGTAAAGGAATTTAACGTGCTGAACTATATATGACAAGCTCAAGAAAAAAAAATTATTGATAACAGACCTGAGCATGTCCCTTTCCACCTGGTCCTCGCATCATGATATATTCTGTAGGTGGTGTCTGAGGACCCATTTTAAATCTTCTATTATGTCTGTTTGCTGTTTTCTGTTTGTAAATGTCTAGCAAAGCACTATAAGAAGCTGCACCTTGAAACAAGGTTATTTTTGTATCATTATGCTGTGGAAATGGCTCATTTGTCATAGACTTTCGATGTCGATTATTACGCTTAGTACCATCATAATAATCATCATCACTATCATTATCACTAAAATCTTCATCTTCATCTGATTTATTTGGTATCGTCACAGCCAATTCAACACACAAATATTCACCATCACTGACAATCAAATGTTCAAACATTTCCTCATAATCATCAATAACATAATAAATAATTGGATAGGAGCATTCCATGGATGTTTCCTTAATATCCATTCTTGATTTGGTTGGAAGTGCATAAACACGTTTAGATACATGCTTCCTTGAGCATGTCATACTCGTTTTTTGGTTAGGTCCATCTGCGTTATCAGCTGGTGTGCGAGTGCATACAGCAACCGTTAATTTACATGGTAACTGAATATAATAACATATTGGTATAAATAAATTTGGTAATAAACGATGATTAAAAGAAATCAATGAAAATCACACCTGAACAATCAAATTGAGAAAAAATGTTTCTTTCCATAATACTGCATCATCAAGACTTGGCATTACACGTGGTGTCGGTTTTCTTTTAACAAACACTGGATCAAGGTCTTCATTATCAGGATTTGTCTGTCTAACAAAGAACAGTAAATCATCGTTCTTACTATCGCTGTTATCAAGAAAATATTCTATAAAAAGATCTGGCCATCTAAACATGTTATTTAATTAACAACCGTAAAAAAAGCCCAGTTAACATCATTTCGTAAATAAGATCTGTTATAATTTGGTATATAAAACAGTAAGCTCTTTACCTTGGATCCCCAGCATCCAGATCTTGATCATCTCTCTGTTGAAACGTGGCATATAGTTCAGTTTGCGAACCGTCGTTTCTCGATACTCGAGGTTGATGTGAGGTTGAAACAGAGTTTATAGGCCCGTGAAGGTTTTCAACAATGAGACGATCGAGAATAAGTTGGAGGTGAGCCATGACTCCCAATCTTTCTATGACAAACGGTTGTCAATTAAGATAAAAGGACAAAATAAGGAAACAGAAACACGAGACTTGTTTAAAATAATATAGATTTTCGCACATCGTGCGATAACACCAGGGTGTAGAATCGATTTTCCGAACACGTGATTTTTCGACGCCAATTAGCCAATTAAAATCGCCTCAAAATTTAGACTAATAAATCGACCTTTTAATTCTAGCAGAAAATTTTCTTCGTGCAATTTGCTTTATTGCAGCTCCCTCTAAACTCTAACTTGTACCCAAACCTTATCATAAATTAATTGTTTATTGATGTCGGGAAATCACGTGTTCGGAAAATCGATCAATCTGTATAACAGATTTGA